ATTTATTGGCTATTTGAATTTCTTGGAGAAGTGTCTATTCATTTTAGTTGCCCATTTTTTGATTGGGTCTTTTATTGAGGGGGATCTAATTCTTTAAGTTCTCTGTATAAAAAGTGTTTTAAGAATTGAAGTGTAAGGCCAGGTATTCAGTTCAGCCAGTGCCTACCTGGCAAGCACGAGGCCCTGAGTTGGATCCCCAGTACCAAAAAAGAAAGAAAGTATGCACATAAAGGGAAAAAAACATACATGTAAAATAAGAATAACAATGCATAGGAGAGACCACATTGGGCTGAAATGTTTCTATTATTCTTATGTACATATGCTCTCAAAAAACAACAATAACAACAAAACACTGTGGAAAACAATCTTGGCATAAGAACAACAAACATGATAATCATATAAAGTCCTAGAAAAGGTGAAAATAAATTCTATAATTTGAAGAATAATAATTATCAGAACTAAGTGTGGTGGTGCACGTCTATAATCCCAGCATTCTGGAGGCTGAGGCAGGAGGATTGCTGTGAGTTCAAGGCCAACCTGAACTATAGAGTGAGACCCTGTCTTTAAAAAAATATATATCAGGAAGTAAATACGGATACTACTGTACCTATAAAATTACTTTTTTAGAAATCCAGTTTCAATATAAGTTATATCTTATTTGCAACACCTTTAGAATAATACACCCAGACAAAAGCAAAGGCTCCTAAAACAACCTGGAGTATTGCTGACCAGACATTAAGAAACACCAGAGACTAGGCCAGAGATTTAGCTTAGTGGTGCAGCCACCTGCCTTGTAAGCACAAGGTCCTGAGTTCAATCCCAGTACCAATGAAAAAAAAAAGAAAAAAGAAAAAAGAAACACCAGAGACTAAGAGAAAAGACTCCTATCTTAAAACACATGAGAAAGAACATAAAGGAACCATAAGGAAGCTGAGAAAGTCTGAGATTACCAGAAGGTTTTTTAAAACAACGCCACATTTTCCTTCAACCAATATTCCCCATATTTATCCAAAAAACGAGGAGGAAAAAGCATAATAACTCTGAAAGTTATGAATCGCTCCAGAATGCAGGTAAAGGAACACTGGTGGAGCAGTTCAAGGGGTTGGGTTCAAACTCTATCCGCCCATTGTGACTCAGAGCTTGTCAGGCTCCATTTCTGCCTGAGGAGCAAGGGGTAATTCCAGGGCCGCCTTGCAAGATTAACAAGGGGCTCAGTGAGGCAAGGTGAACGTAGGAAAGCTCACTTCGCAAATGTTTAATCATTATTTCATATTTTCTTTGCAAAACCAATCTTAAGTTTTGTGAGTCACTACTGGCATTTTCCTCTTTTCAACCAAATTTCAGAACAAGACACTAATCTTAGCTCAGCTTAAACCCACACCATGGAACCACCGCCATTTTACTTGGACTGCGGGACTGGCAAAACTCCACTCCAGGTGGCCCAGCAGAGACAAACAAGGGCTCACTGTTTCACCACGTCGTGCCGTGAATCAGTTTTTCTCTACAATCACTGGCTCATTCTGGATTTTTTTATAGATTTTGCTATGTTTTCTCCCCCGTTAACAAAACTTTAAAATATCAAGATCCTCCAAGAACACTTTAAAACTTAAAGTTCAAGAGGTTTAAAAAATAATAGTACACCAAGGGGAACAAAATGAAGGAGCAGGATACACACCTCAGGATATCAAGCCTGTGAGTTGTTCTCACTGCCCCAGCTCACGCAGGTTCTAACACCAAAAGCAAAGCAATTTCCAGATTTCTGAGAATTTCTCAGTATGCTCTATAATACTTTAGTAACAGACAATTGTGAAAACTGTCTCTGATTTTTAAGCTTAAACACATGCACATAGCAGATGACTGCTGAAAATAAGACATATCTACTGACAACTGTAAAACGAAAGATACCTGATAGATTAGCAACACAGGAGCAGGGGGAAAAAGCCTCCACAAAGCACCACAGCATCATTCTGTGAAGTTCTGAGACCTCACACATGGATTTCTGTACAATGTGATAAATCATTTTATTGAGGTGTAATTTTATATCATAAAATTCACCCTTCTAAATGCCACAATTTGATGGTCCATAAACCTTCATAATCATCAGCACTATGGCAAACATTCTCATCATCCCAACAAGGAATTCCAGATCCATGAGCAGTCACTCAGCATTTCTAGCTCCCCACAGCCCCCGTTTTCTCTATATATTTGATTGTCTGAGGCACCTCACATAAATGGAATTACACATGATGGAGCTAGTGTGAGTTTGGTTAAATCTTACATTTCACTACTTGCAGCTTCTCTTTTTCCTAACCAAGCATGACCATGCAACATGGTGATAGTTAATATAACACAGTATATTTGTACTTAAATTGCTAAGAGTAGATTTTAAGTATTCTTACTACAAATAAATAGTATATATGTGAGGTAATGCACATATTACTTTTATATGGCCATCCCACAACATATACTGATTTCAAAATATCATGTTATAGGGCTGGGGATTTAGCTCAGTGGTGCTGCTGCCTGCCTCTCAAAATATGTTATATATCATAAGTTTATACGATTTGGGGGGTACTGGGGATCAAACTCAGGACCTTGCACTTGCAAGGCAGGTGCGGTGGGATGAATGAATGAATGTTGTATTATTATTGTCACCCTCTGAAGAGCATTTTTTTAAAAAAAATACCAAAAAATATCACACAGTATTATGGTTTGTGTCTAGATGTCCCCCCAACGCCTCATACAGTCATAGGCTTTTTCGGAGGTGGCTAAATCTAGAGTATGTGATGCTGAGATTAAGGACGTGTGATTACTAAACCTGTATACTTATTGGTTTGGCACCGCCTTAATCCCAGTGGGCTGGATAGGATAAAAGGGGCAGATGGATGCTATGAAGGTTCCCGTTTGCTTTTGCTGTGTGGGAGCCATGAACTGTTTTTCCTCTTGGACATCCCTCTGCCATGCCACCCTGCCTTGGAGCCAGCCAACTATGGACTGACCCCTCTACAAACTGTGAGCTAAATAAACCCTTTCCCCTTTAACTTTGGGTGTCAGGTATTTTGTCTCAGTACTGAGAGAGAAGTAACTAAGACAATAGGTAAGAGTAGGATTTTCATAAATTTTGATGTACTTTCACAAGTAACTAAATATGTAAGACATGGATCGCTTCTCGGCCTTTTGGCTAAGACCAAGTATAAGATATGGAAAGATAACACTAGATATTAGTAAGAAAGATAAGCTGCAGAAGTACATGTATACAAGCTGGGCGTGGTGGCGCACCCCTGTAATTCCAGCACTCAGGGAGGCTGAGGCAGGAGGATCACTGTGAGTTCAAGACCAGCCTGGGCTACATAGTGAGTTTCAGGTCAGTTTCAACTACATAGTGAGACCCTGTCTCAAAAAAAAAAAAAAAGTACACGTATACTATGATCCTATCCATACAGAAACAAAACACCATGTGTGTGCAAGAGTGTGTGTGTGTGTGTGTGTGTGTGTGTGTATTCATATCTCATAGTGTTTTTTTAAAGTTCTACAAAACAAGCACAGTGACACAGGTCTGTAATACCAGCTACTCAGGAGGCTGAGGCAGGAGGGTCACAATTTTGAGGCCAGCCTGGGCCATACAGAGATCCCATCTCAAAGCAAGAAAGAAAAAGAAACAGAAACAGAACAGAAGAGACGAGACCAAACAAAAATACTACAAAGATATTCACCAAATTTTTAACAATGATTACTCCTGGAATATCAGACTAGTACAAAGAAAGAACCAACAATCACAATCACTTCTTGTATCACATATTTCTATATTAACTGCCTATTTAACAGCAAACATGTACTACCTTTCGTAAAATTTTAATCACCAATTAATAAAAGTTATTTACATGTACCAACAGTTTGGATTATTTGATACTTTTCATGTATTATATTTAATACTTGTGAAGAAGGGCAGAAGCTGCCCAATGGCTACCAAATTACAGTCAACAGCAAGGTCCACCAAGCAACTGTGCAGCAGGGTAACCACAGACAGTAATGAGGAATTTCAAAAAGCTGGGCAAGGGGATTTTTAATGTTTTCATCATAAAGCAATGCTAAGTGTTTGAAAAGATATTTTTAACCTGATTTAAGCATCAAACAACATATACATGTATAGAAAAATCACATGGTATCCCATAAATTTGTATAATTTTTATGTTTTTATGTACTACCTACTTTAAATTTTTAAAAAATTTACACATATGTAAATGTTTTGGGGGGGTACCAGGGATTGAACTTGGGTCCTTTGTGCTTGCGAGGCAGGCAGCAGCACCACTGAGCTAAATCTCCAGCCCCCACATGTACACTTTTAATAAAAACTGAACATGGCAGCAACTGTCAATAGGTTAAATTTGACATCTAAACACACGACAGGTTTTTATAACATCTTTATTCAGAATATGACGTAGAGGAAACATTCAAGTGGTACCTTGAAAAGTCCAAGCTGAAAAGCCTGCAGGATAATTTCTAAAGAGTAATGATAACTATGCCAGGTATGGTGGCGCACACCTGTAATCCCAGCACTCGGGAGGCTGAGGCAGGAGGATTGCTGTGAGTTTGAGACCAGCCCGGGCTACACAGTGAGTTCCAGGTCAGTCTCAACTACATAGTGAGATCCTGTCTCAAAAAACAAAACAAAAAAAAAGAGTAATGATAATAACTGTCACACCCTGTAGGGTTCACACTTAACTCCATCACATCCCCGCTAGTACCCAAGGAACTACATTTTTCAAAATGAACACAGCACCCCAATTAAGGATGCGTAGAAACATAAAACACAGTCCTTACTTTCAAAGAACAAACTAAGGTGAAAAGCATCCAGCAGATTTTGGAAGGGAGTGGAGAAGACATAATAGGAGGCACCATCCATCTCTGTCTCACGCTTGTCTTCCGTCTCCCGACGCCTCCCACCACAGCTCCAGCAGCCAACACACGAGTGCAAACTGAACAAGAGGTCAGAATCCTACCTTTTCCAAAATGAACTTGTTTAAATACGGCATGTAGCCCTGATTGGAGACAGGCCCTTCATCATCATCCCTGAAGTGCTCTTCAAGGGCGACAGGGTCATGAGGAACCTTCAGCACCGTGCACAGGTTATGGGAAAGGACCTATGGGGGAGAGAAAGAGCAGTGTGAAGCAGGCGCCGCTCTCCAGCACAGGACACTGCCACCGTGTCAACACGACACACCGCTCTCTGCCTTGGCGAGAAGAGGCGGAGGGTGAACTCACAGCACACCGGGGTGCCTGCTGCCCAGCGCTGCCCATGAACCTCTCATTCCCTCCCCAGTTTGGCTTTACTCCCCAAGAGGCCATATTACACGACCACTGGGAGCTGGGACCTATGCGAGGTCTGCGAATATAATAACCCTTGTAGTCCATTAGTTACTGAGCCACATTAGAAAGAAGGGGTCAAGGGCAAGAGAATGTGTTTAAAATTAAACCCAAGTACAGCAGGCTCAGCTAATTAGAGCTTCTCTAGAGAGGGAACCTGGCACAGAGCAGCACAGCCAGGCATCGTGGACGAGGTGGTGACACGGACACGTCACAACCTCTCTGGGCTTTGGGCTTCCCATTTACTAAGTAGGAAGGACCAGACTAACACACATGTATAGCACATGGCAATTAGCAATTGCTGAATGTGCAAACCTCTCTGTAATTAAGCGACTACAAGTTAGACATCGACATGAATATAAAAGAACACAGACATTAAAAAAGAAATCAAAGCCAGGCATGGTGGCGCACGCCTGTAATCCCAGCACTCGGGAGGGTGAGGCAGGAGGATTACTGAGTTCAAGACCAGCCTGGGCTACACAGCGAGTTCCAGGTCAGAATCAACTACATAGCGAGACCCTGTCTCAAAAAAAAAAAAAGAAACCAAGACTCTGGTTTAGAAATAGAAAAAAATATATGAGGTACAGAGGTTACTAGAGATCAGGAAGGACAGAGAGAAAAGGGGCAAAAGGGAGGTTGGATTTATCAGTGCACAGTGGATGCATGTATGGAAACATCACACTGAGCCCTACTAATGTGCAATTAATATGTATTAATAAAAAAATCTTAAGGGCTGAGGATGTAACTCAGTGGGGCTGCCTGGCAAGCACAAGGTCCTGAATTCAATTCCCGGGACCAAAAAATAAAATAAAATAAAAAATGAAAAATCTTAGAAGCCACCAAAATGGCTTCAAATATTTTACAGAAATCTGCATTCCACAACGTAAGTATAAAAAGAATTACTACTGGCCTTGCAATAACCTAGGTGCCCACCCTCACACTTCCAGGTAGCAGAATTCCCAGTCTGACTTATCTTGGTACGAATGATATTTTTGCACACTGAGGCCATACTCTTAAGAGAAATTTATAAGTCACACATATGTAAATACCAAGTAGTTTCTCTGGTGTGAAAAGCTTAAAAGTGTAAATAACATCAAAATATATACTTGACATGGTGTGACAGGAAGAAAAGGTCTAACATAGTAGAGGAAGTGGGAGGGATAGGGGAAAAGTAAAAAAGCAAAAGAAAAAATACGTGAAAAGGAAAAACGTGGAAACAATGACTGTGTAAACAGGGTAGGGTGGAGGGGCTGAGGGGAGCAGCTGGGGAATGGGGAAAAAATAAGAACCAAGATAAGTCATGTAAAGGTACAAGATCCCAATGATGAATGTAACTGTACTGTATACCTAAAATGTACCAATAAATTTAATAAAGATAAATTTTTAGGCCGGGCATGGTGGCGCATGCCTGTAATCCCAGCAGTCGGGAGGCTGAGGCAGGAGGATCACTCATTGTGAGTTCAAGACCAGCCTGGACTACATAATGAGTTCCAGGTCAGTCTCAACTGCATAGTGAGACCCTGTCTCAAAAAAACAAAAAAAAAAAGATAAAATTTTAAATTTTAAAAACTGATACTCAAGTCTCTTCTATTTCATCTGTGCATTATGAACGGGTTGAATGACACAGACAAGGATGTACTCTGATCAACAGAGATCTTCCTAAATGTCAAATCCCAGGTTAAAATATTCCCTATTTTTCTCAGTCCTACCTATTAAGGAGCCATAATCATCTCAGTAAACACTTTCAATTTCATTAAGCAAGTCACTTCTTCTGAATACACATCATATTTCAGTTAGGATATTTTTACAATTTAAATTTTTTAATCTATAAAAAGAACATTTGCATATCTTTTTTCTAAATTGGTTCTGTTTCTCAAAGCATCATTTATGTGGAGATCCTTTTGTACATGCTCTACTGGTTTTAAGGAAGTAAGTCAAGTAAAGGAAGTAAACTTACAAGTGGTTATAAAGGCAGTAATGAAGACTTTTATCAGCCCTACAAAGCAGGCTGTGTTTCTCAAGCAAACCTTGTATTTGCCAGTAGAGCACATGAAAGGACCATGGTGAGGATTTTATTGAAGAATCTTGTGCTATAGTCAGCAAAATCTGTAATAGACTTTTTTCTCTATTTACCTAGGAAGGCTTGTAGCAACTGACCCCCAAAGAGGTTTAGTGAGGATCAATTTCAAAAATGTCAAGTGCTTATAAGCTGTAAAGTGCTATGGAATCAGGTAAAGCTCAAAGGTCATGCAAATTTTAAAATCATCTGGGACTTTACTATATAAAAATTCCCAACCATTGGTTAAATTATAAAACATCATAAAAAAATCATAAAATTAAAAAAAAAAAAAAAAAAAAAAAAAAAGAAAAAAAAAAAAAACACAGCCAGGCGTGGGGTGGTGCACGCCTGTAAGTCCAGCACTCAGGAGGCTGAGGCAGGAGGATCCTGTGAGTTCAAGACCATCCTGGGCTACAAAGTGAGCTCCAGGTCAGTCTCAAATTAAGATATGAACTCCAGACTTCAGCAATGGACAATCAATCAGCTATTTCTGGGCCCCATGGCACATGCCTATAATCTAGCACTTGTGAGGCTAAGGTAGGAGGATCGCTGCAAACCAAAGGCCAGCCTGGGCTACACAATGAGTTCCAGGTCAGCCTGAACTACGTAAGGAGACTCTGTCTCAAAAAAATAAATGAATAAATAATAAACATCACTGCTGTTAAATACAGGGATGGCTGAATTCAGTGATAATTTTTTTAGTCACCTTTAGTTACTTTAGCAAACTGTGAGGGAGACAGGACATAAAAAGCAGCCAGGACCAGGAAGAGACCTAAATTCCAATCCTGGTACTGCTGCTTGTTTGCTTGGCCTCAGTATCCTCATCCAAAAAATGAGCAGTTGCATTTATGTAGAAAATTTCTAGGAATTAAAAACCCCAAATGTGTTAACTATCAACCCAAATTCATTTCATGAATTCAGCAAAAAGAACTATAATGTAAATTAGCACTTCATTTAGTATGGCTCAAACAAAGAAAGTAGTTGTCAAACAAAATAACAAAGACACAAAAGAAAATGTGTTTCTAAAAGAGGGGAAAACATGTTTTATCTGATATTTAAAACTGTTTACCAGCAGTTTTTTGTTGTTGTTGTTTTTGTTTTTTGAGACAGGGTCTCCCTATGTAGTTCAGACTGCTCTGGAACTCACTGTGTAAGCCCAGGCTGGTCTCGAACTCGCAGCAACCCTCCTGCCTGCCTCAGCCTCCCAAGTGCTGGGACTACAGGGGTGCACCACCATGCCCGGCTTACCAGCAGTTTTTTAAAAGTCTAGACAGTATTCAAGTTTTTTAAAATAAAAAATAAAATATATAGCCAGGCTGGGTTATGCATGGTATAATCCTAGTACCCAGAAGGCTGATGCAGAAGGATCAAGAGCTCAAGGCCAGCCTGGGTTACACAGCAAGACTCAGCCTCAAAAAGTAAAAAGAAAAAGAGGAAGAAAAGGAAAAAGAAAAAAAGAAGTACCAGTAGCAGCCACTACTGCCACAATTTTTTTTTGGTGGTGGTGTTGGGGTGGTACTGGAGATGGAACTCAGAACCTTGCACTTGTGAGACAGGCACAGTGTCACTGAGCTATATCCCTGGCCCACCAGTGCCACAATTCTGATGGCCAGAATATAAACTGCAGAAGAACAGGAAAGTTCTATAAATTTGCACAGCAACCTGTGCTTTTTGGGCTAGACTCACACTTATTTTACACGGCTAGTTTTACAGATGAAGAGGCTACATCAGAGATGAGAAGACCTGCCCCAGCCCAGCGTGGTGGCGCACGCCTGTGATCCCAGCACTCGCCAGGCTGCAGCCGGAGGCTCACCACAGGCTTGAGGCCAGTCTGAGCTATGTAGTGAGTTTAAAGCCAGCCTTGCCTGAGCTACAGCAAAACCTGCCGAAGAAGAAAGAAGAGAAGAAAAAGAACAGGAAGAAGATCTGTCTCAATCTAGCATTAGAACACAAACCTCCCACCATAGTACCCTTTCCACGCTATGCCATCTTCCCTCTCTTTCTGGTAAACAGACACAGCCCCGCCTGGCAAAGACGGCAGTGGACACACACATGTGCTGTTCCCAAGCTGCAGGGATGGGCCGGGCTCCCCCAGACCCCCAGCAGTTCCCCAGTGCGATGACTTCAGTGGAGCCAAGGAAACTCCTATGGCGAGAGTCCAAGAGTGCCTGAAACGGGGTGGGTCCGCTGTGGGAGCTCTGCCTCCCAGCACCCCCTCTGGGGGAAACCGATCCAAGAGCCACTAGCCCTCTCTCCCGATGAGGAAGCTGAGAAACAGATCAAGACAAAGCAATCAGAAAGAGGACTACAAGTTCTTAACTTGTACAAGGACTGGCCCCAAATCACTCTAATCAGGGTCTTTGCAAGTTTCTTGAAAACCCGGAATTGGTCCCACTTCAAATGCCTGCTCTCCAAAGGCCATTCTTTTAGAACCCACATGATTGCTAAGCAACTCTGCTCTCATTCCCTGATCTTTAGAATAAATTACTGTTACACATAAAGGATCCCTACCCATGCCAGAAACTCATCTCTCCCCTCGTGGGTGGGAGGCTGCTGAGGAGGTGACTAATTAGCTGCTCCTGGTCCGCTGTCCTTCAGTGGTTTTCCATTCACCCTTTCCAAGCCTTTTCCCCTGGCTATCATGAAAATGAAATCACCAATGGTGGCGAAACGGTGCTTTAAACACAGGAGTGCTTGATGCTTGCCGCTCACCCCCTC